AGCAGGAATCAATGACGGAGCTTGAAAAGGTTACTTGTCTGACATGGAACCAGATTCAGTGGTCACTAAGACTTTTGTAGCTCCAGGTCCCAAGGAGGGTTGTTTGGTGGCTGGAGTGAAATACCCGGGATCACTCATGCTGTGTACAGCCAAAACCCGACTGATGGTTGTCACCAAATGTCTCCTTGCACCAGGGGTGGGTCAGAAAGTCTCAGCAGAGACAAAGAGACCTAAAACTCCCCTCCTCTACCCTAAGGGGAGGTCGTCATCAGATTTTGCAGGTTGAGGTGTCTGGAGCGTGTGAGATAGCACAAACCTCTATTGAGGCTCTGTTTTCCCTTGGGGGTGGTGGGAGTTTTGGTCTCTGGGCTTGTCAGCCTGCAGGAGCTTTTTCCTGGGACTAAGTTTAGAAGAGGACCCTCTCTCTAAATTACCACCCCATGGTAATGCTCCTTGTCCTTTGTGTTTCAGGGTGAACCAGGGGATTCGGGTATCAGGGTAAGTACCTTATGCATGTGATAAGAAGCCTTTTATTTTAGTATTTCTAAGCTGCCCAGTAAGACTGTCTTGTGCTTCATGCAGGGCCCTCGTGGGAGGAATGGCCTCAAGGGTGACAGAGGAGGTGTGGGAGAACCGGTGAGTGGTCCACTGCTGGCCAGTTACTAAGGAACTGCTGCTGGTCATGGTGGGAAGGGACCATTGGCCTCAAGACGCCCACTGCCATGTGAGGTGGGTGTAGAGAGACAATGTCTACTGCCAGTTCTCATCATCTGGCACTTTAGGATGCTTCATTCTGCGGACAAGGGCTGGCAGATTAACCAGGGCCAATTAAGCGTTTCTCACTTTGTCGACTTCATCCTGTTGACCTGTCACTCGGGAACTGCCAAAAGGGAAATGTTAGAAACCCAGCAAAGACACGGGATAACAGCCATTCCTTTTGCCAAAAGCAAGGGCGTGCTCTTCCTCATGGCATGGAGCAAAGCTGTGGGAAGTGCATCCATCACAGTGCTCACCATGACTATAAACCTCTGGCATAGTCAATCATGTTGGTAGACGATAACAAATGTCACCTGACGAAGGCTACTCCAAAGCGACAGTGATTCACCCTTGAGCCCCCACTGTCTCCTTCACCCGTGGAGCAGCTGAGTGCAACCCTCCTCCTTCCCACATCCCACCCCCCTGGTCTCAGCGGGACAGAGAAGAACTGGGGCAAGGTCCAGAGGAGGGCAAGAAGATGGATCAAAAGTGTGGGACAGCAAATGGACTGAGTTGGCAGCAGATTCAAAACAAAGAAAAGGCGGTGGTTCTTCACAGAAGTCCCACAAGGGTCTTTTTGGGGTGTAGGAAGTTTGAATTCACAGGGAGATAAGGGAAGGAAAAAAGTCCATGGTGCACTACTAGGAATAAAAGAATCCATGTCTGGTTTGGGAAGTCCCTGCATTACAAATGGCTCAAACCTGAGAGATTACTGAGAGGACAGGGCATGTGCTGCTCTTGCACCCTTCCCAAGGTGCCTTTTGCTGTCCATCATCATACATGGGTCCTTTTTTTCTTACCTTTGCCATACTGTAGAGCTATATCCCATAGAGCAGCCATTTCCATACGTCAGTCTTCACCATTTCTACACCAGCAGCATTACTATGGTCACCCCATTACAGCAACACAGCTGTAGAAGAGCCACTGTAGAAGACAGCCGCTGCCACATCGACATGGGTACTCAGGCTCTATCTTCCCATGTAACGAGCAAACACACCTTTATGTTCCCTTCCTGAGTAAAGCCAGTAAACCATAGCTCATTTGGAAAAGGAAATTTGGGAATACATAGACATAGCTATAAATCCTCAGTTGGACAGGAACTGTTAAGACAGGCACATCAGGATGCATATTTCTCTGCTTGTGTTTCTGCACACTTAAACCCTTTTTTTGGTATGATTGGTAACAAAGAGTTTAGAAGAAAAAGATTTGATGATGTATCTTCCTTTTCAGGGGAAACCTGGCTTGCCAGGCCCTGTAGGACTAGATGGTGTGCCTGGACTACCCGGACCACGGGGAGAGAAGGTCATTACTCATGTCAGATGCTTGCAGGATCCATCAGCCCAAGGGGGAGCTGAGAATAGCTGAGACAAAGTGATAGTAGGGTAGACACGTGGGGAGGCACGTTGGGATCTCCCACCATTCCCTTTCACTCCCTGCTTGTATGGGTTTGAGTTTGTGCATGGTAGAATAGATGTTGCAATTCCATCCAAGTCCATTTTCCTCTCGATACTCTAGTTTCCGCCCAGTGGAAGATCTCCTCTGCAGTTTCTGCCGCCAGGAGCAGTGTTTCCTCCCAAACATGGCCCAAGCCCTGCACGTTCCCTCTCCCCTGGATAGGGCTACTTCACTGAATCCCCCACCCTGCTTCAAATGGCCACTAAAGACACCTACAGAAATGGTCACTGAAAAAACCTACAGACCCGTGGTTTTAATTCTCTCCTCCGAGTCATAGTTTGCATCTTGCCTGAAGGTTACTGGCTAGACATGTGTCTTAGCCAAATGTTTACAGAGTAAATGTCTCCCCTCCTGCTTTGCAGGTTGGCTAAGAGTAGAGATCTGGGTAGGACATATCATGCTCTGCAACTTTGGGGACCAGCTTCCCTGAGGGCAATGCTGTGCTTACCTTGCAGGGGATGGCAGGAACTGCTGGCTTGAAGGGGGAAGAAGGAGAGCAGGTGGGTTGGCAATTTGGAGTGAGGTTTGCAGCTAAAGACCCATTGGAGGGTGCAATGTCTCCAGAGTCTCCTCCAATTTCTCTTATCTAGGTTTTCCTCGGAAGGCGCATCCTGTAGTTACAGATGGAAAGGGGAAGAGAGAAGGGAAGATATTAGGTTTTAAAGTCTGAGCTTTCACTATTTCTTCTGTTTTTTTCAGGGAGTGATGGGACCTCCAGGAGCACCAGGACCAAAGGTAGGTACTGAAATGCTAAACCTGAGTCCCTGTGCCTGGTAGTCAGCTGCCAAGGAAAACATCTAGCTGTGACCATCATCATAGGCTGTGGGAATGTTGACGCCTTACTCAAAAGCAGTGTAAGGGAATAATTGTACACATCAGCAGTCAATGGCCTGTGGAAGTCAGTGCTCCAGAGTGCTGCAGAGACTTGGAATGGCAGGAAGATGTGATATTTTAATAAAATAATAAATGGCATTTTTTGCAGCCAGTGAGACTCTGCAGAATTGTAGTAGTTCACATTAAATGTGTTTTGGGAGGAAGGTGTAAGGAGCAAATTGTCTCACATCTGCATTTTGGACACCTTCCTCTGAACCCTTCAGGCCCAGATTCATTCCCACGTTTCCAGTGGAGAAAGACCAGCCCTGTCAGAGCTGATATAGCCCACCCTGAAGTTTGAGTTTTCTTCTGGAAGTGCCCATCTTTATCCCATTGTTGGGGGAAACCTTGACTTGACCAATTCTCTCACCTTGCTTAAGAGGCTGAAGTTGGTGGGAAGGAACGATTTTGATGTCCTGGTGCTGGCAGAGGAAAGGGACTGGACAAATGTAGCTCCAGTCTGAATCTTGCAGCTGCGCTGGGAACCCAGGGAAGATGACACATAGCAAGGACTGATCACGAAGGGACTCATGGCAGGCAGGAAGGTTTTCTTGCAGACCACTGCCTATCTCCCACCTCTCACTACTCATGGAGATGTGGGGGTTCAACTCCAGGGCTTCTCCATGTGACAAAATACCTGGAAAGCTGCGGGTGCTGGAGGAATCAGCTGATCTTGGCATGTACAGGGACAATTGCTGTGGGAGGAAGGAGACTTTCTCCTGAACCTCTCAATTCAGGTTTGAGCGGATGTTTGCTTCTTCCTGACGCACCTGGCTTGAGCTCCTGTTGAAGTCTGACACTGGAGAAAGACTCAGGCTGTCTGGATTTTCCCTGGTACGAGCGTGCCCGGCGTGGGGTTAGGTGGTACGTGAGGCAACTCAGCATGGTCCCAGGTTGTTGTGGCTCTTGGAGGAGCAGCTACTTAGGATTGGGTTGTATGGCTCTCTGCATGCCCCCTTCTCCAAGTAACTCAGGAGATACTCTTTGAGTTACAGCTGATGGCCAAATCGATCTGAGTCACTGATCTATTTCATGTCCGTTAAGCTCAAAAAATGTCTAAGTTGACCCCAAAATAAATTCTTTTCATACTTCCAAGAGAGGTGGAAAATGAAGGGAAAAAATAATATCCAAGGAAAAGTTCCATTCAGCCTGAAATTAAGTGGTTTGCTTACCTGTGCGGTGGTGCTTTTTTTATTTCGTAAAATAGAAGAGGATCTTAAATCTGTAAAGTCTTTGCAAGTGTTAACAGCCAGTTTGCTACTCGTGTCTTGCTTTTTACAAGAGCAAAGGCCTGCTTGAATTGCCCAGTCTTGATCCACACAAATATGGGTCCGTGGCAGGGTGTTTCATGGACTGCCCGTGCAAAGCGATGGGGAGAAAGAGCAAAATTTGGCAGGGTGCTTACTGGCGAGGTAACTGTTGACATTGCTCATGAGCTCTTTCTGAGTGGACAGCAGAAGGTGCAGGAGGCAATCACAGCTGCTCATTTTCATTTAGGGTGAACTAGGACCACCTGGGGAAGAAGAACTGGTTGGGCCAAGGGTGTGCCTCCAAACTGATCAAATCAGAACAAAGTTTTAAAAATTAAGATTAAAAAAAATATGTAAATGTAGAACCCACAGTAAATGGGCCCTGGACCAATATCTCACCTTGCTCCTCTTGGTTATGCTCAGCCTCTGAGCATGGACCTTACCCCACAACCCCAGACCCGCACATTTTCTATGCTGTAACCTCTTGGCTTTTCCAAGAGTCTGTCTTGTCTTTAGCTCTGAAGATCCTTTGGAGGAAACAGTCTGATCAAGCTCAGGATAGTCCATATATACATATAGTAATGTATATTATATTATAGAGTAGATTATTATGATGAAACTATATAGTAACTATCTATTATGCATGCAATTTAATATTAAGCATTTATATAAAGTGTGTATGGTGATATGTTTGATTATACAAGGTATCATGTTATCGATACTATGCAGGTAATTAATATGCAACACACAATATAGAAATGCATGGACTATATATGTAACATGCTATATATTATATATGACATATATGTAAAATACTTCATTTTTTCTTTTTTTATTTGCTTTCCACCCGCTTTCACAGTCTCCAGTGGAGGGAACATGCTCAGCATGCTCTTTTGCAGCGTGTGAGCCTCCAGACTCATCCTGCTCTGCCAGTGGAGCCTTGTCTTAACTAAAGCATCTTCTGTCTTCCAGGGTGACAAAGGGCAAGGTGGTGTCAAAGGGGAAAAGGTGAGACTGGCCAGCGCTGGCACACAGAGTAGGAAGGGAAGAAGCACTGGCTGTGTTTTTGAGTTCAGGACAGAGTAGTTGAGGTATCTGGTTGGAGATCCAGAAGGAGAGAATTTGATGTCCCCATCAAAAGCCTTCTTTCAGTCTGGCCAGATACAACTGGGCCACGTAGCTATGTGCCACGT